AATAAACACAAGTGAGTAGTGCTGCTGATGAGGCAAGTAGCTCCCCGAAAAACATGACAAGAAATACAACCTGCCTTGCCTGTCACAAATTTCGAAGGGCCACTTGTACCACCAACAAACTGAACAATAATGTTAAGGAAAACAAAATTAATTAGTTACAAAAAAAAGGAAAAGACAGTAATACAGATACTTAATCTACGATGAAGTTTGCAAGTGCTTCAGTTCAGTTCTTTTTCTCCACGCTCGTTTTCCATAACTTTTACAAAATTCATCAAAGTATTTCTCTACTTCATTTGTCATGGAAAGAGCAGTGGAGCCTAGGACGTAGCTTAATTTAATATCAATATTAGCACTTAAAAATTGATCCCAAACATCGATGTTATGACTACTTAATTTATATTCAAGTTTATTTAACTCCTCTAAACGTATGTTTAGGAGAGCGGGACAAGAGAATAAGAAGTGTCTTTGTCTTCTTCATTATTTGTATTGCAAAGTGTACATAAGTCATTCTTGTCTTCAGACCATCTAGAAATTCTACTATCAAGGGGCAATGTATTGGAGCGAAGTTTTAAATTTCAATGATACACCTTCGAAATCCAATTTATCTAATAGATAATTTTCTAATTTAATTGTATCTTTAAGTAATGAATAGTGAGTGAGGCCTTACTTTCAATGTCCTCTCTCCAGTTTTCAAAAAGAAAACTGGAAAGAACAGTAAGCCAATTAAAGTGTGATGAGATAATGAAAGCACAATACCTTTCACTAAGAAATACAGAAAATTGATGTGAAAATTTGTGGTTTACATTCAATAAATTGTATTTATTCAGGCAAAGTAACCAAACTTATATTTTTATTTGTTTCAGGTTGTTGGATTTTATATGGCAGCCAATTCCAGCAGTCCATAACAAGCTTGTTTTTGCTGTACCTACACTGTACATTTTCATCCTGAATTAATTTTGTAATCACATTTTAAATCAGTAAGCTTATGTGTTAACATTTTTCACAGGTGCCTTTTTATCAGGCATTTAACCAAAGAGACATGTACAAATAGGCTAGAATAGCAATTTTTGGACCAGTTCTCTAAATTTCATCTGATATTGAGTGCACAAAGTTGCCGATACAAGTTTTATACATATTTTACTGTATGTACAATATAAACAATAAACTATCCTATTGTGGGAGGCACATTTATAAACCAAAAAATTGTAAAATATTTTGATAATATTATTATACAGTGAAAGCATTTCATTTATATCATGTTTTTGCACAGTACATAAATCAGATAGTTTTTTTACAGAAAGTAGTATCTGATCAGTACAAGTAACAAAGTATAATAAAAGTAAACAATCAGTAAGTCTTAATATCTAATACCTTAGTGTCCAAATGAAAAGTCAATAAATAATAGGCTTGACTTTTGTTTACTGGTCTAGGCATCAATAAAAATTTGTTTCTTGAAAAATGATACATTGTCTTTAAAAAGTAGTCGAAAGTTTTATATGTTCCCAATATTGTTTTTTGATTGAAGTGCAATGTTAATGCCCAATATTATTATTTTTTAAATATTGGAATTTGACACAAATGCCACAATAACAAAACCTGGTTTACAATTTATTTTAGCAGAACTCAGAACATTTTCTTACACCTTTATTAGGCTGCCTCTACATACAGGCATTTTCCTTTGTAGAAAAGTAACACTTTTGTCATTACTATCTATGAATGTACTGTAGGAATATAAAGAATGTTGTATGACTTAGACACACATTTGCGGGCGTAATAACAAATTTTAAAAACACCTAGGTATTTTTTTCTGGAATTTCCATTGTTGTGGCAGCGGGTGTACTAATTGAACAAAAAGAATATTTTCTTTTTATTTGACATCATCAGTTTGTGCGAGAGATGAATTTGCGAAACAAGGTATAAAAAAGTCTCGCCTGATTGAAGTAAAATTACAAGTAGGCCGCTGCAATCAGTTTAATCCTTGGGTCTTTACCTCCTGAAAAAGTACAATTTGCATTTCTTATGTCTAAATTTAATTTTATAATATTTTAGTCTGCAGCCAAAATAAATGACATTTTTCACCACTCTTTTTCCATATGTTTATTGACCTAACACATCTACATGCGTTTAGGGCCCTGTCGGAGCCCTAGTGGGTTCAAGAAATAGAGCATCTTGGGTAAACATATGACTTCTTTTTTGGATTGGGTTGGATTGGATTTATTCAATGTAAACACCAAGGATAGCCCACGAAAGTCTAGAATAAGACTTATTTCCAGTGGGGTCCTTCTGGGGGTGATTGGGCTGTACACCGGGAGACAATCCCCTACATTTTCATTAAATATGTTCCTCAAATACTTGTCATCTGATTTTACAGTATATAATATATCTCTGAGCAAAGAGTACTACAGTGACAAAATTTTTAACGTAATGATTACAGTTAAGATATTGCATCTTAGATTGTCTTTGTAAATTTTAGTTGATGATTAAAATAATTGTGTGTTCGATAAGTAATATAATGCGAGCTTTTGTGTTTTTAGTACATGGTAAATTATTAGGTTTTAAAATGCCTATTCCAGATAGCATGTTCTAAACCAGATTATGAAGTCATTCAGGCGTAATGGACGGTAACAAACGTCTGATTGAAAACAAAGGTGCAACCTGCAGGAGAACTCTATATATAACAATATTAATAATAATAATAATAACAATAACAATAACAATAATAATAATAATAATAATATTGATGATGATGATGGTGGTTGACGTGGTGGTGGCGGCAGCGGCAATCACATATTGATGTGCGTAAGGAGAAAATGTTTGTGCTGATTAACCATCCAGACGTGTGCACAGATCTAGATGAAATATACCATAGTGCCTTTTTTTAATGTC